AGGATCCTGAGATCATGACCCGAGTTGAAGGCAGACGCTTAACTGAGCCATCCAGGCACTCCTCCTTTTGTTTTTCTTAACAGTGTCTTTAGTTTTTGTGTGTTTTTTGGGGTCTTTTATTTTTTAAAAATGGTTTATGTACTATTTAAGAAATCTTTCACCCAATATCTAACTGGTTCTTCTTTTAATAAACATTATACAGAGGGGATAAAAAGAAAAGAAAAAGAGATCTTTGCCTAATCCATGGTCATAAATATTTTCTCCTATATTTTCTTCCAGAAGTTTTATAGTTTCAGCATCTATGTTTAGGTCTTTAATCTATTTTTTTGTTTGTTTGTTTTGTGGGGTTTTGTTTGTTTTGTTTTGGTATGTGGTATGAGGTAAGGGTTAGGGTGAATCATTTAATTGTAGCATCATTTGTTGAAGAGAATATCCTTCCCCCTATTAAATTCCTTTGGCAACGTGGTGAAAACCCAGTTGTGTGTTTATTTCTAGGCTCTCTATCCTATTCCACTGATCTGTATTATCCTTACACCAAAAACACACTGTATCTTTTTTATTTTTTTAAATTTTTATTTATTTTATTTATTTTTATTTTTTTAAAGATTTTATTTATTTATTTGACAGAGAGAGACACAGTGAGAGAGGGAACACAAGCAGGGGGAGAGGGAGAGGGAGAAGCAGTCTTCTCACTGAGCAGGGAGCCCAACGCGGGGTTCGATCCCAGGACTCTGGGATCACGACCCAAGCTGAAGGTAGATGTTAATAACTGAGCCAGCCAGGTGCCCCATCTTTTTTTTTTTTTTTAAAGATTTTATTTATTTATTTGTAGAGAGAGAGGGAGAGATAGAGAGCACAAGCAGGGGGCATGGCAGAGGGAGAGGGAGAAGCAGGCTCCTCGCTGAGCAAGGAGTCCAATGTGGGACTCCATCCCAGAGCCCTGAGATCATGACCTGAGCTGAAGGCAGACGCTTAACCGGCTGAGCCACCCAGGCATCCCAAAAAAACCCACACTATCTTTTTTTTTTTTCTAAGGATTTTTATTTTTATTATTTATTTGACAGAGAGACAACGAGAGCAGGAACACAAGCAGGGGGAGTGGGAGAGGGAGAAGCAGGCCTCCCGCCGAGCAGGGAGCCCGACGCGGGGCTCGATCCCAGGACCCCGGGATTATGACCTGAGCCGAAGGCAGACGCTTAACGACTGAGCCACCCAGGCGCCCCAAACCCACACTATCTTGATTACTATAGCTTTATAATAGATCTTGAAATCAGATAATGCAATTCCTGCAAGTTTGTTCTTTTTCAGAATAATTCTGGCTATTCTAGGCCCTTGCATTTCCATATACATTTTGGAATCATTTGGTCAGTTTCTTCACACATGCAAAAAAACAAAAACAAAAAAACCCGAAAACAACCTGCTGGAATTTTGATTGGGACTGATTGATTTGGACAGAATTGGCTCTTAACAGCAATGATTCTTTTAATGTATGAAGATGGTATTTCTCTCCAACTAGTTAGGTCTTCTTTAACTTTCCTCATCAATGTTTTATAGTTTTCTATGTTCAAGCCTTAAGTTTTATTAAATTTACTGCTATGTATTCATTTAAAAAACTCTATTGTAAATGCTATTTAAAAATGTCAAGTTCCAATTGTTTATGTCTGGAATATAAAAATAGAGTTTTGTATATTGACTTTGAGTTCTGTGACCTTGCTGAATTCACTTAGGATTTCTAGTAGCTTTTTTTTTTTTTTTTTTAGATTCCTTAAGATTTTCCACATATACAATTATGCCATCTCTGAATAAATATAATGCGTAAGCTTTTAATTTCTTTTTCTTGCCTTATTGCACTGATTAAGACCTCCAGGACAATGTTGAGTAGAAATGGTAAGGGCAGACAATCTTGCCTTGTTCCTGATCGTAGGAGGAAAGCATTCAGTCCTCCAAGTGTCATGTTAGTGCTGTTTTTCATAGATGCCCTTTATCAGATTGAAGAAATTCCCTTCTATTCCTAGTTTGCTGAGAGTTGGATAGGTATTGAATTTCCTCCTGTGGGTTTTTTTTGTTTTTGTTTTTGTTTCTGCACATGTTCATTGCCTGTGGCCATATGACTTGCTTTGGACAGTAAAATGTGAATGCAAACCACAGGCATCTCTTTAGGGAAGGAGCTTTAAGAGCCAGTGTGGGATCTGCTACATTATGTTTTCACTGGTGCAGGAGTGGTAGAAGCTCCTGTTGGAATGAAGCATTGGGCATAAATGTGAGCAAGAAATGAACTTCTGTTGAGATAAGCTAAGAGATTTAGGGGTGTTTCATTAGTACATCATACCCTAACAGAGAAGGTTCTTGCCCTCAGGACAAACTTCTTGACTTCATGGAGCTTACATTCTAGTGCAAGAGAAACAGATAAACAAATATACAGTATAATGTCAGGTAGAGATGAGTACAACAAAGAAAACAAAGCAGATACAGTGAGATACAGGGAGAGAGGAAGCTTTAGCTTTAGATAAAGGTAATGGGGAAGGCCTCCTTGAAAAGCTAACAGTTGAGCTGAGACCTGAATAAAGTGAGGGAAGGAGCCATGAGGTATCTGGTGGAAGGGTGGTCCAGTTAGACAGCCAAGCGCTGCTCTAAGACAGGAACTCCAGACTCTCCTGGCCATGGAGGATTGGGACAAAGCTGAAAAAGCTGTCCACAAGGAGAGGAGAGAGAAGGATATATCTATCCAGTGGCCCCTGTGGCCCATTCTGGTTCTGTGGGGACCACAAGCAGCTGCTGGACAGTAGACAACTTGTTGGCAAAGGTCTTGCCAGACGGCTTAGAAACCACTGTCCCTTGAGTCTTGAGATTCTGAACAGTGGGGCAAAGAAGAAAGAGGGAGTAACGGGGGATTTTCTTCCCCTGACATTCAGGCATAGAGGCTTGTTTTCTCTGAGAAAAATAACGTGACTGACCTTTGTGAGACAGCCCATGACCATTATTTTCCTGAAAGTTATTCTCAACTTTAAAGCTCATCAACAGCTTGCTAGGGTCCTTAGGAAGAAGCCCAAACTCATCTTTTTTTTTTTTTTTTTTAGATTTTATTTATTTACTTTTGCAAGAGAGAGAGAAAGAGAGAGAACAACCAGGGGGAGGGGAAGGGGCAGAGGGAGAAGCAGGCTCCCCGCTGAGCAGGGAGCCCGACACGGGACTCAATCCCAAGACCCTAGGATCATGACCTGAGCCAAAGGCAGACGCTTAACAACTGAGCCACCCAGGCGCCCACCCAAACTCAATTCTATTGACCAGCTCTGTCACAGAATTCTGCTTCAGTCATACTGGGTTCCTGCACTGGGCCCTGCTTTCTCTGAGCCTGTGCAAAGGCTGTTCTTTCTGTTAGGAACACTTCCTCCCTTGTCCTGGTTAACATCCGTCAAACTTGCTTTAAATGTCAGTCTTCCTGGGAATCTGCCCAGACTAGCTTAGGTGCTTCTGTCAAATGCTATCTTAGCATCTTGTTCTTCTACCAACATAGCACTCATCATACTGTATTGTAGCTTTAAAAAATTGTCTGGTAATTCAGACATACAGAGAAGTATTAAAAAATAATATGGGGGGCGGGCGCCTGGGTGGCTCAGTTGGTTAAGCATCCATCGGGAGCCTGCTTCTCCTCTGCCTACTGCTCCCCCTGCTTGTGTTCTCTCTCTCTGACAAATAAATAAAATCTTTTTTTATTTTTATTTTTTTTAAAGATTTTATTTATTTGACAGAGAGAGAGAGACAGCAAGAGAGGGAACACAAACGGGGGAGTGGAGGAGGGAGAAGCAGGCTTCCCGCCGATCAGGGAGCCCAATGCGGGGCTCGATCCCAGGACGCCGGGATCATGACCTGAGCCGAAGGCAGACGCTTAATGACTGAGCCACCCAGGCGCCCCAAATAAATAATATCTTTAAAATATATATATATATAGGGATCACCCATATGCCTATCACCCTAGTTAAGCAATGAAACATTGCCAGCCGAAGTCCACTGTGATGACATTTTGCTCCCTCCCTACTCCAAACCATTACTTGAATTTAGTGTTTATCTTTCCATGTATGTCTCTATACTTTTATTACGTGTGCATATATACCTAAACAACATACAGTATTGTTTTTCTTGGCTTTACACTTTACATATAAGTTACTACAAAGGATTTGTGCAACTTGCATTTTGCCCTCAACCTTATTTTTGTGACTCATCCATGTTGACACAGGTAACCCTAGATCATTTCTACAGCTGTATATACTATGCCACAATTTACCCATTTTCTCCACTGATACACGTTTAGAGTGTTTACAGGTTTTTGAAATTCCCCAGCACCCTGCTGCAAGCATTATGGAACGTGTCTTATACGTACGACAGTTTCCCCGGGTATACAGGGGTGCTTCTAACTTTGTGTCAGAGACTGACAAAGAGCTTCAAAGTGGTGGTACCCCATGGTGGCTTTGGCGGCACATCTCTCCCTCTGGAGGGCGAACGCCTTGGGGGCTGGGACTCCACCTGTCCTGCTTACCATGGCATTTCCAGAACTGGGGGCAGAGGACACTAACGCCCGTTTGTACGGTGAGTGACTGGACCCAGAGATTGAGCAGACTGTGGCTCAGGGGAGTGGCCAGAGACTGGGGAGCCGTGGCTCGTGGGCCGCAGACGGCCGCTCCCCGCGGGACAAAGAGCACGGCGCGCTGGTAGCGGATCCGGCTCCTTACGATGCCCGTGTCCCCCAGCGCGCGGAGCTAGCGGCCGGGCGGGCCCGACGCCGGGGCAGCCCCCCGCCCCCCGCCCCCCGCCCCCCGGCCCTCCCGCGCTGGCGGCCCCGCCCCCGGCTCCCGCTTTGCCCCCGCCCCCGCGGGTGAGTCAGGCGGCGGCGGTGACGGCGGCCGGGAGGGAGGCGATGACGGGCGCGCGGCCGTGCGCCGCGGAGAAGCGCAGGGCCCGGGAGCGCGGCGGCGGCGGCAGAGGAGCGGCGGCCGAGGCGGCGGCGGGCGGCATGAACGGGGCGCGGGGCGCGGGCCGAGCGCTGGCCGCGCTGCTGCTGGCGGCGTCGGTGCTGAGCGCCGCGCTGCTGGCCCCCGGCGGCTCCCCGGAGCGCGACGCCGAGGCCGCCCCGCCGCGAGGTGAGTGCGGGCCGCGGCTCCGGCCGGGGCGGCTCGGCGGACACCGCGCCGCTGCCCCCCGCTCCTGCCGCGGGTTCCGCTGGGGGGCGGGGCCAGCTGCGGGCCGCGCGACTGTCCCCTCCCTCGGGGCGACGCGCCGCCTCCTCCCGGCCGGGGCAGTGCCGCAGGCGAGCGCTCGGAAAAAAGCCCGTCTCCGGAACTAGTTTTTGTTCCCTTTGCGTTGTAGTGAGCGCCCCCGGGGCAGGAGTCTCTCGGTGTTGGCGCAGACACCGCGCGGGTTAGCCTCGCGGCCTCGGGGGACGAGTGCCGTGGAGGGGCCCGACCCCCACGTCCAAAAAGCGCCCCCCCCCACCGGGAAACGCGGGAGGGTAGCCGAGCGGGGCGGCCCCGCGCCCCCCGGCCGCCCGCACGCCCCGAGCCGGGCACCTAGGTCTCCAGGCGACTTCTGTCGTACAGTAGAATGCCTTCGGTGGGGAGACCTGTTACTCCCCCCATGCAAAGCTAAATAAGAGACGGACTGGCCAAGAGGGGTGTATCCGACGTCCAGTCCTCCTCTAGCTTACTGTTTGCGGGGACTTCTGCGCAAACGAAGTCCGTTCGGCGAAGAGGATAGAGGACTTGAGGCGTGGCGTGCTGCGCGGCGGGAAAGCTGGGAAGCTGGAGCGCGGGCCGCTGCCCTGCCGGGCCGCCGTGGTTCCGGGGGACGCAGCGCCGCAGCCCCGGCCCGCAGCTGCGCGGGGGATAGGCTCCCACCGCACCGGCACGGAACTCCCGAGTAAACGTCCGGCATAGAATAAAAACTCAGCTAGCGGGGCGCGGGGAGGGTGTCGATCACAGGAGCTGGTTGTCGAAACTCGAAGCCCAGTCTCGAGCGCCCTTCGGCACATTTTACGGCTAAGGTGATGCGAGGGACAGTTGAGGCCTGGGTTTGCTGGCGCCTTGCGGTTTGCTGGGAAGCCACGGCACACGGTTCTTGGCCTGGGAGGGGCGGCGCGGGGTATCTTTGCTGGGGGTGATTCTACTGTGCGGCTGGGAGTGTCGGCACTCAGCTCCTCTGGCGTTTTCCTCATTTGCCTGGTCCCCCAACACCCTGGGGGAAATGGTGAAAAATACTCTCCTAGAGCCCCCGAAACGGGAAATCCAGGGCCCCAGGAGGAGATAGTCCCCCGCTCCTCCCCAGGGGATGCTTTGTTCAGGGATTGTGGGATCAGTCAACTGCAACAAACACTGTTTGGTCAGGGTTTGGGGAAAGGTCTGCCTATCCCCTGCCTTTCTTCCCCACCCCCCCCAGTCTCCTTTTCTTTATCAGAATAGGGGGGTTTTGGCGTCAGTGCGTGTAGTTCAGAATGCTCCTCCTTCCCAACCAGAATCTTGTAGGGCAAGGACAAAATGAGTTTTGAAAAACCATCTTAGCTGATTACATTTTGTATTACTGCCTTCCCCACCCCTGACTCTGTCCCGCCTACTCCCCTTTTGTATTGGAGGAAACGGACCCTAAGAGGTTACCTAATCAAGCCAATCATAAGTTGTCAGGGACAGATCTCGTGCAATGCTTTTTCTTTGTACTTTAGCACCAATTAATAGCGGTATTTATTTTAGAAAAAGGTGGTTTGTAAGTAGTAATTATGTGGAGTGAGAGATAACATATATATATTTTTTAAGATTTTATTTATTTAATTGACAGGGAGAGAGAGAGAGAGAGACAGCATGAGAGGGAACACAAGCAGGGGGAGTGGGAGAGGAAGAAGCAGGCTTCCGGCTGAGCAGAGAGCCCTATGTGGGGCTCGATCCCAGGACTCTGGGATCATGACCTGAGCTGAAGGCAGTCGCCCAACCAACTGAGCCACCCAGGCGCCCCGAGAGATATATTAATATGCTTTTTTTTTTTTTAAGATTTTATTTATTTATTTGACAGAGAGAGACACAGCGAGAGAGGGAACACAAGCAGGGGGAGTGGGAGAGGGAGAAGCAGACTCCCTGCCGAGCAGGGACCCTGATGTGGGGCTCGATCCCAGGACCCTGGGATCATGACCTGAGCCGAAGGCAGACGCTTAGCGATTGAGCCACTCAGGCGCCCCAACATATTAATATTCTTAAGTGATCTACTCCAGAACCTTCATGAAGCTGTGCTGAGAGGACAGCTAGGCTTTTAGTGCCGCCTGGAGTTCAGGTTTGGGCTGGGCAACTTCCTGCTAAGAACTCCATTTTCGTTTGATTTGAGGACCCAAGTTTACTTAGAAAAAATAATAATAAATAGACAATGTCTTTAAAAATTTGTCCCACAAAGGTACTCATGAGCAGAGAGCTAGAACCAGAAATTAAATATTTGGAAACAAAATAAAAGTCTAATATACAAACAGCACAGTTACTAGGGCTTTATTGAAAGGTGACTTTATCTGGTTTATGTCCTCATCAGGACATTGTAGACAGGAGAGGAGGAGAGAATCATTGTTTTGGATATAATGCTCCTTGAGTGTTGCCCTGGTATTTCTAAGGTCATCAGTATCAGAAATTGGCAACTTTTTCTTGAAACTGAGCATCAAGTTCGATTTAGATGTCATAGTGGATGGCTTGGGAGTTGCATCCTTATGATGATTATTAAGGCCTGTTAAAAGGACACCTGGGTGGCTCAGTCGTTAAGTGTCTGCTTGGGATCGAGCCCGCATGGGGCACCCTGCTCAGCGGGACGCCTGCTTCTTCCTCTCCCACTCCCCCTGCTTGTGTTCCCTCTCTCGCTGTGTCTTTCTCTGTCAAATAAATAAATAAAATACTAAAAAAAAAAAAAAAAAGACCCATTAAAGTCTGAAATTCGTATGGAAGCTGAAGCATAAATCAAGAACCTTACTCAACCCACTACTAAAGACTCAGGAATATGGGGCGCCTGGGTGGCTCAGTCGTTAAGCGTCTGCCTTCGGCTCAGGTCATGATCCCAGGGTTCTGGGATCGAGTCCCACATCGGGCTTCCCGCAGCTTCTCCCTCTCCCACTCCCCCTGCTTGTGTTCCTGCTCTCGCTATGTCTCTCTCTGTTAAATAAATAAAATCTTAAAAAAAAAAAAAGACTCAGGAATATGAATAAAAGCATTACTTATTCCAACTATGAAGGGATGATGATATGTAAAACAATTACAGAGGAAAAGGTCAATAAATAGTGACTATAAATTTGAAAATGAAAACTATCAAAACTGAACAAGGGGAACTAAAAAGAACTATTTGAAAACATGACATGACATGTATCTGTGACAGGTATGACAAAGGATTTAACATCTGTGCTATGTAAAGAAATGATAGAAATCCTAAGAAGAGCCTCAAGATGGAAGGGGTGTTAAAGAACAAAAACTCATCTGGGTAAATGTAAAGATCAAATTGGCTTTATTCAATAATTCATGAATCGGCCAGTATCCCATCTAGCAAATAGAAAGGAGCTCCCTCAAGCTGCAGAGAAGGAAAGGTTTTAAAAGGCAGAGAGGGAGAGGAAAAAAGGAAATTATTAGCAAAGAATGCATTTTAGGCCAGGATGCTCTCCTAGGGGTAATGGAAGGGGTCCATCAGTGGATTACCTTCTGGTGCTGACCAGGAAGTTCTGTTGGCTGCTTAAAGGTCACTTTTCTGAGAGGTGAAGGTGCAGTTAGGGTAGGTATTAAGTCTTGGTGGGGTGTAGCATAAGTGATTCCATTTGGGGCCATTTGTCTCCTTTTTAACAATTTCTACCTCTTGATCAGACTCTCAGCTTAACTGAGAGGTGTGATCAAAGTATAAGGCTCTAACACCGCTCTCAGCTCTGTAGTTCTTGGAGCTTTACATGAAATTTTGTTGATCCTTTGTGTGGTATCCAGAGGTCACCTTGTATTTTGATTTGTTTTGTTTTTTTGTTCTTGCTTTTTTTTTTAGATTATTTATTTATTTGACAGAGAGCAGAAGCAGGGGGAGTGGCAGAGGGATAGGGAGAAGCAGGCTCCCCGTGGAGCGGGGAGCCCAATGACATGGGCCTTGATCCCAGGACCCTGGGATCATGACCTGAGCCGAAGGCAGACGCTTAACGACTGCGCCACCCAGGCGCCCTAAGACGTCATACTCTAAACATGAAACTCTTTCTTCCTCCTTTTCTGTCCTTTACTCTGGCACTGGACTGGAAAGATAACACCATCATCTGTATCTCCCAGGCCACTGCTAAGGTGGGTAACTTGTGGAATTTAGAACAACTTTTTATTTTAGGCTAAGAGGAAACCTAGCTGACCCTTTGGCTTGAACAGCAAATACAAACAATCCCTGTGAATGAATCCATTAACCGTGCCACCACAGCAGGGAGTAATTTGTGCCCCAAACGAGTTTGTCTTTGTCTGTGGTGGTTATCATTATGAATGCTTCTTAGTCTGTCTAACTGTGGGCCCCTCCTTAACTCTTAAAGATATTGCAAAATCCATTACTAAGACAATAGCTGCCCAATAAAGATCCTTAGGCTCTCTGTCCAAAGTTGTTCTTAATAATAGGGTAGCCCTTGGTTATATTTTGCCAAAAAAAGAGATATCTGAACTATGGCCAAACCAACCTGCTGCATCTGAATTAATACTTCTGGGGAAGTTGAAACTCGGACATAAGATCACTGAGCAAGCCACCCAGCTTCCAGAGGTGACTCCTTCAACAGGGTCTTTCTTTGACTTTGTTGATTTTGATTTTGATTGGTTTGGGTCTTGGGGACCCAAGTGGCTCTGAAATGCACTCCAGACCTTGGGATTATGCTGCTTGTAATAATCATAGTTGTCTCCCTGGTGTATGATATTCTCTCAGAAGGTCTCAGTACGTGTTTGCAGCCACTAACCACCATGCAAGTGATTTCCTTAACACATGAGCATCGGAAAGGAATGAAGAGAATGACCAACTTAAAGACTGTAAACCTTGAAATTGTGGCCTACGAATCTCACGAAGATTAAAACAAAAGAGGGGCGCCTGCCTGGGTGGCTCAGTCGTTAAGCATCTGCCTTCGGCTCAGGTCATGATCCCA